AATAATTTGCACCAAGGATTAATATCAATATTAATAAAAATTAAATGTTTTCAATTAGTTTAGATGTACAAGTAGGGTAAAACACAAAGACAAGACTGAGGTAGTGAGCCTCACAATGGCTCCACTGATTTCTCTACTGGCCCTTGCTCTGCACATGGTCAATTAGAATTGAAAATCCTGTGCTGATTTCATTCGCTGGAATTTTTAAGCAGGTCAGGAAGAAAGATGTTATTGAAAGGAAAAGTCTCATCTAAATAAGAAAGGAGCACGTGGCCATCTGCTCTTAGCTATACATATCAAAAGTTATTTCAGCTGAACTGCCTGCTTGATGTTTAAAAAGATGTGTCAAAAATCAACCTCAAATCTGTTTATGGTAAAATATCCCAAATGTTTCTTTTTAAGTCCCCAAATATGCAATACACAGTTCACTTCCTATCTGTGATTCATGAGCCCATTTGACCCCAGCGCTCACCGAGCTTGACTGAGTTGCAGGCAGTGGAACATTCAATCACTCTTAGAACACTTTTCCTACATGGGGTATCAACAGGGCCGTGGGTCTTTTGAACGTTATAAAAATAACTTTGAATCATTTTTACTCAAATTAATTTTAAGTGTTGTCTGCATGTAGGCTTGGAGGAACAAAATTTGAGGCATGAAGCAGCCCAACCTGTTTCCCTTCTTTCCTCATGGCAACTTGAGGTTCTTGTGCATCCTCTGCCCAGTGCTCAGACTCAAAAAAATGCAAGACCTACACTTAAAGATCAAGTTTTTTTTAAACATTAATTTCTCTTTTCATACAGAAAAATTGTATGTGAGAATCTACTTTTAGGAATTTCTTCATAGTGATAAGAAACAGAGAGAGGGCTTTTTGCTTTTTAAGTATTTTATACTGTTTGCAAAATCAGAGTCATTATTCTATATGATTAAAATATTTTTTCAGATGAGGCATCTTTCATATAATAACGTCAATATATTAATTTAACCAATATCTGAGCATACTCCTCTGTAGTACAGATATAGCTAATTGCAACTGTCATTAAAATTTCATCGTGTTAGAATATGTTAAAATTCGAATTCAAGAATATTTTTATAAACTCTAATTGTAACACAAAACTAACATTTATTTTTGGTTACAAAATTATATCCAAATATATTATGTACATATTTTATATATTACATACATGTACATGACATACACGTTTTTAGCATCGACATATGCTCAGCAAGAGTTTAATTGTTACCTAAGGTCTTCAGATGAATAAATAATAATTGGATTAAGAACATTCTAATAGGCAAAACACAAGAATCTTGATACATCCCTGACATAACATATCCACTGGCTGTTTTGTATATCTACAGTGTTTGTTCTGTCATTTCAAATAAATCATTACCATTGTGTAAGAAGAATAAACTGTACTATAGTAAATTGTTCTTTCTCCGTTATGCTCTGAAAAACCATTTGTTCTTGAATTGGCGTTACGTAGTTCAACTATTTCAATCAAGTCCATTATCTTCTTTCCTTTGAAAGATGCCTTTTTAGTAACCTGTATTCCCAGTGGTCAATGTCATGTTTTGTTTTTAGAAAGTAAGTGAATTTTCAATCTAACTATTCGTTCATTTTTTGTCTTTAATAGATCAGTAGTAAAATTCATCCTTAGGCAAGAACTCCATTATATGTATAGGAAGAACTGTTTACTTAAAGATTATACAGTCAGGTCCAAGAATTTCTAAAAAAAGTTATTTATTAGTTCACACTGGAGTCTCACTACATAGAATGTCACCTAACTTGTGTAGCTTGTTTTTTTCTAGACACAAAACATGTCAGTTCTTTAAGGTATATATCCTTCTCAACAATAGTAACATTAAAACAAAAAAGAACATTTAAAAAAAAACATTTTCTTTAGAATGATCACATAATGCATTGGTAAAATAAATCTTCGTTAATTTGTGTGTTGATGTATAAACAGTGCTGTTGGTACACATATGTTTTGAAAATCCATTTAAAAATAATTCTTTTTGCCTTGCAAGAAGTATTAGAAGAAAATACAAAGATATGTGTATGTATATATATTTGTATTCATATATATATGAAATGGTAAGTTTAAACAGTTATTCCTTATTAATAAAGATTAATTAAATTACGTATCAAAACTTGGTAATTAAGAGACAGTGTATGCACAGTTGTTCTGTATTTACATCTCAGATCTGGGTATATGTCTTGATAAAATTATTAAACTTTATTCTATTTGAGTTAAGTAAACTAAAAATAATGTACTGTAAATATATACATTATTAAAAATATGAACACTTGTTTGGTGAATGATTATTCAGTGTTAAGACCCAGAAAATAGACATGAAAACAAATACAAACACTCTACCAGCCCACAAAAAAATTTAATCCAACTGTCATTTAACCCAGAGAAATTCGCCTATCAAAGTACATGAATTGAGCATTTCTTCCAAATCATTTGTATGAAATGATCCTTTCCTTAAGCAATTAGTTCAATAGCAAAAATGATTTAATGGCTGCGAAGTTTTAAATAACAAGAAACACCAAGTCTAACAATCATCAGTCTTGTAGCATTTTTACCCAAATGATTTCAAAATGCTCACCGTTTCTACATCCTATTCATATCATTGAAATTCAGCCATCTCTGAAATGTTCAGCCAGCATATTAATAAGGCTTTCTAGAACCAGGAAACTGACTACATATATCTTGATAAATACGCCCATACTGTCCCCATGAACACATCTTCAAGCTATAGATAGCTACACATAAAATAGCCCTTTCCTGTGGGTGTCGGTTAACCCCACAAACACGTGAACTTCCTATAGGCACACACCCAACAGACTTTGGCGATTAGGTGATTGAAAACGTTGCCCACAAAGGAAAAATTTTGTATGTGATGACATCACCAGCAAACCTGGGTTTCTCTGTGGTATAATGATATAATTGCCTGGCTGAGTGTGAGTGTGTATGAGAGAAAAAGAGAGAGAGAGAGGCTTTAAAGAACAGCATCATCAGAAACGGCATAACCTTCTGCAAGGTTTACAAGAACCTTTCCAAAAAGATCTTTGACTTTTTCCAGATTTCATACAGCTTAAGTTCATTCAAAAATACATTCCTTGCACAAGCAGATTATGTTCTGTTTGGTTATAGCACGCTGTTCATCCTAAAATATCGCGACGGGGGTCTGTGGAGATGAGGTTTCTATACCAAATGAGGCATGTGTGTCTGTACAATACGATGCAGGAGTTGCAGCGTCCCTTGAGACCTGCATTTGAATGGCTAAGACGTCTTGGCTTTAAGGGTAATGAAAGGGTTAAAAATCGAGGCTGTCTGGGGTAAGAGAAAGGGGATATTGTTGTCTTTAATCTTTCCGCAGCATGTGTAAGACTTCCATCCCGGATCTGCACATAGCAGTGGAATAGGCTCGGCATGCATTGCGTGCAAGCTCCTTGATTGTAAAGGGGGGGAAAAAAACCTGGCTGGAGTCCAGACAGGCTGGAGCTCTGTTGATCATTATGTCTAGCCTTCAGGTGTCTCAGCGCACAGTGGGAGGCGGTGGGGGAGGTGTAGATAACATGAGAGCAGACAAAGAAAAAAAAATTTGTGTATTTAAAAAAAGATTATGTGCAAATCTGTGTCCAAGTCCTCCTTAAAAAATGAATCCTAAAGTCTTGGACTTTTATAATTAGAAAGCAAGCTCTGTTCTGGCAGGTCTATTTAAGCCATAATTAGTTATGTCTGGAGCCTTTGAATAATTCTTTTCAATAATTGATGGAGTTAATATTCTCTTTTAAAAAGGACGAGGGCAATGTTTTCTTACATACACTCTTTTGGGGGAGAGGCTTTGTCGTTGAAATTCTTCATCGGTCAAAATCACATTGATCTGATTTACCTTTTAATTTCTTATGAGACTTAGCTTATAACTTCTTAAGGATTTGGATGATTCTAGAAGTAAAGGCGTAATGCACTGATGGATTACCCTCGCTGAATGTAAGAAGAAAGCAATAACACAGCAGCATTTCGCCCCAGTTCTTTGCATTTATTTTATAAATTAAAAAAAAAAAAAAACACTGCTTTGTTATGTTGCTTCCGTTTCAAACTCTAACAACAACAACAACAAAAAAATCTTTCCATGAATGCAACTTAGATGCTAACCATATATTTTGCCTGCTAGTCAGGAAAAAATCGCAGATTATTTTATTCTTCCAGCATTCTTCTATAAAGAAGCTTCCGCACGCTTCTTCCCCACCTCCACATCCTCACTCCACCCTACTAAGAATTTCAAAAAAATCTTTATACATGGAAGGCTGGATCCTGAGACAGAAAGCTGTCTTTTACTTCTGTCTTTACACTGACCACTTTCAGCCGCCTTCATTTTTACTGGGACTTTATTTCACATTTTCTGGGCTAAAACACTGAAACTTATCCAGCCCCTAGAAATACTATAGAATTAAAAGTGATGACTAAAAAGTAAATAAAAAAGAAAGCCCTGGCTTGAAGCCATTGTTTAGAATTTAAGAGCTATTTGCCCCCAAGTGTCTTAGCAGTCTTTCATAGCTAATTACAATAACTGTCAGATGTCTGGAAAGTCTGTGGTGCCCTCGTCAGTGGAGTCAGCAAACTTTGTCTTTTATTTTTCTTGGGTATAGATCAAATCTGACTAGACATAAAGAGCAAAGAAGAAGTGAACTAAATACACATGTGTGAGCCTTTATTTTTTCTTATGAACAAAGCAGCACTGGAGCAATGTTCGGGTGTGCAGCCTCCTGCAGCTCGCTACTCTGTGGAATGCTGACCTTTTATTTTTAATTCTTTATCTTTAACGTAACACATCACGCAATGATTGTTCCTGAAATATTTTCCTGCCAGTTCAAGACGCTCCGATACCCCCATAAAAGAGTACCCTACACAACGATCTTCAGATATTTGATGCTTATGATATAAGACTATTTGAATCAGTACCCTTGATGAAAACAAATGTATACTTACAATTTCAGAATGGTTATTTGTTCTAGTTCCTTGTCCCTGGAACAGAGCCGAGACTTCTGCCAGACTGTCCCTGATGCAGGTGCAGAATCCTCGTTTTCCGGGCAGAGAAAGGTAGAGAAGTGCTTCATAAAGTCACTCGGAACTCAGCCACTTATGCTCAGGCACCCTTGCTACTGTGAAAGCTGTACTATCTGCAGTTCTGAATTGAACTAAATTACAGCCCATGTGAAAAGACAGGGGCAGCCAGTCATGTGGGAGATACACCGCTATCCTATTGGCCACAAAGACATAGCTTAGGCATTCTGCCTTTTCCACCATTGGCGAAGAGTTAAAACTGAAAGCATCTAGATCCTCCTCTAGAGCTTATTTGTCCTTTATGTGTGGAAGAATGACTGTAGGATTTTACAGTGACAGAATTAGTTAAGGAAGGGGCTGAAGTCATCCTTCACAGAGACTGGTGGGAGGAGACTGAAAACTTAGCTTTTTCAAGGATTTTTTTTTTTCTTGCTTCTTTTTATCCACAAGTCCCCCCGCCCCCTTCCCGTCCCCCCTCACAGTTTTGTCTGTGATTTGCCTGTCAGGAAAACATTTTGTGTGTGTATGTGTTTGCAGCTATGCTTGGAGGTGACAGAAAGTAAATTAGCATTGTATTCTTTTGCAGAAATCAGTCATGTTTTGAAGATAAATTTAAATTTTTTCCATGGTGCATTTGCAAATTTCATTTTGATTCTTAAAAAAGGATTTGTTGCATTTCTAAACTAACAGACTAAATTGTTCATTAGTGACAGCAGAAACAGTTAACTTTTCTGAGTTGCTATTACATAGTAGAGAAAGAAGGAGGAATAATAACTCTAGAAAATACTAAAAGGCAACAATACCAAAGAAATCAACAAATAGACTTCAACTGGACTCGGATAAAGAGGAAGTATAATTTTTCCCTTCAAAACCATTTTAAAAAATTACCTCATTTGGCAATACACAACGTCCATTAATTTCTTAAATATGTTAGTAAGTTTTCAGTTTGCCCATCAAAATATGCATGAAACCTAGAAGACTTCCGTCAGTCGGAAGGTATTTTTCAGTGATTCCAGGGTTATTTAATTCATCTCATTCTTAAAAACCTCTGCTGCATTTGTGAAGATTCAGAGCTCTATGTTACCTTAGAGATAATCATATCTCACATTCCTAATTTTAAAGGTGAGGAAGGTGCCGCCTGACAAATAATGCCACTCCATTCATTTACATTGACCCAGGGAGTTATGCAAGATAAACGAAGGGAACACTGCAAAGTACAATAGTTTACTCTTTCTTGTGCCCCTACTAAGAGCAGTCACTCTCTTGTTTAATTTAATCACTGAAACAACCCATATAGCCCGTTTTATTGTGTTCATTTCCCAGTGGCGAAAACAGATTCAGAGGTTTTACTATCTTAGTAGTTTTTGGATTTGCACCCACATCTGACTGAGTTCATACCCACTCTTTCAACTAGGTATGATGCCTTCCAAAATTATAATGGCTATCATTTATTGGTACCTTACTTATGAGTTAGTTATCCTGTTATCCCCATTTCGTAGATGAGGAAATTGAGGCTTGTACTACCTGTGGTTGTTGTTAGGTGCCGCCAAGTTGGTTCTGACACGTAATGACCCTATAGGACAGAGTAGAACTGCCCCATAGGGTTTCCAAGGAACAACTGGTGGATTTGAACTGCTGACCTCTTAACCACTACACCACATGATTCAAACCAACTGTCATTTGTTTACACACCAAATGGATTCTCATCATAGTGTTGAATACAGTTATTATTTTTTTCCTTGAAAAAATACAGCATACATGTAGAATATTCTTCATGGTCATGTAAATGTGCTGGATTCAGAGCAGATCATACCATTAAGTAGCCCATGTGTGACTGTAAATAGGAATTGGAAGGACAGTCATGGAGTCACATTTATCCTAGGGCCCCCACAGGGTTTTGCCCACAGTAGGAGCTTCCATATTTGATGAGAGGATATTCTCTCACAGCACATCAGTCTGGACATTAAAGAGTCCTACTACTGGTTCATAGCGTAAAACTCACTGAATATGAGAATAAGACATGTTCTGAGTTCACTTCTAATTAACAAAGTTATTATTTCAAGTCAGGGTGTGAAAAATACCATTTCAGCCAGAGAAGTATCAAGAACCATTACAGACTTTTGTGAATTGGGCCCCTCCTGCAACCTAAATCATAAAAATTACTCCGGCAAAATGGCGATCTAGGCAGAAGCACCACGCCGTCCCTCCACAGCAAAGATCTAAAAAACTAAGCCGAACAGAGAATACAACATTCTGAAACCCTAAAACATCAAATGAAGAGATAAAGAACTCAGCCAAGCACCAAATGGAGTGAGAAAACTGACAGAGAACGGAGAGCGAGGAGAGATTCATGCAGAGGTCCCCTACCAGCTAACGCAGTGTGGATCTGCAATCTTGGACTCCTATCGGGGACCAGCAAATGGGGTACGAGAAAGCAGCCTCTCGGGGCAACCAGCGGGAGACAAAACAACCAGTAATTTGGGATATACGCTTTCCCACCCCCCACGTTTCCCATCCCCCACTCAGCCTCCTCTGCTTCCCGCGGCCACAATCTCTTGACTGGGACACAGCGGCTGCTTGGATTCCACACACCCGAAAGGGCTGGCTCTCTGAGTGCCATTTGTTGGCTGCTGGTGTTGCTTTTTTCCACTTCTTTTGATTTCTTCCTTATCTCTCACCAGCTCCCCCTCCTTCCGCTCAAATACCTGGCTCCGTGTGCTATCTTTGTTTCTTCCTGAGGGGCTGCAGAGCTCTGATAATTTGTGATATATGCTTCCCCACTCCCTACCTTTCTTCACCCACACTCGGCCGCCTCTGCTTCCCGTGAACACAGTCTCTTGACCGAGAAACACCAGCCCAAACTAGCTGGCTCTCTGAGTGCCATTTGTTGGCTGCTAGTGTTGCTTTTTTTTCCTGCTTCTTTTGATTTCTTCCTTACCTCTCACCACCTCCCCCTCCTTTCGCTCAAATACCTGGCTCCATGGCGCCATCTTTGCTTCTTCCTGAGGGGCTGTGGAGCTCCGTTCGAGGTGGAGCTGCTTCCCGGTCTGGGCTGCCACGCTGGTGGGATCCCGGGGCTTTTGATCCTTTCTTTGTTTCGAATTGTTTGTTTGTTTTCTTTTCCGTTTCCTGAGTTGGGAGCCCTTTCTGGCCAGGTGGTGCTGCGTGGCAAGGAGACTTCCCCCTCAGCTTGCACAGACGTGCAAACGGATCCCTGAGGACATTTCTTTTTACGTAGGTTTTTCTTTTTTTTCTGTTTTTTCTGGGGGCCTTTCTTGTTCTTTTTTTTTTTTTAATTTATTTTGTTTTCTTTTCCCTCTTTATTCCTTTTTATCTTTCTTCGTTGCTCAGTTTCTCTTCTCTCTATATCTTCCTTCTCTTTCTGTTCCCTGAAGACCTGGCATTATATATTTCTATGCCTTCTAGCCAGGCTGTACTGCAACACCTGAGAGCGACTTCCTCAGACCTCATAGCTGCACCAGTGGCATCCCTGGGAACTTTGCAGTTCTTTAATATTTCCGATTTTTATTTATTCATTCTTTTCTTTTCTTCGTCTTCCCCTTTCTGTTTTTCTTCATTTCATAGTCTCTCATCTCTGCACTCCAACGGCAAGCTTCCCTAGTATTCTTTTTTGTTTGTTTGCATGTTTTTGGCTCCTGTCCCTCTCTCCTCTCTCCCATATCCATCTTAGTTCCACACATAACAATCTCCCTGCTGCATCCTGCCTAACTACACCGTGTGCTTGACATCACACCAGAAAGCAGCACAGGCACGGCCTACTGGAACCTGCCCTGCACTGATTACCGACCCACTCTGGTGGCTGTAGTAAGTGCCACAAACAACCTGTCCCAGTAACTCCTCTTCAGCTAGACCTGCCCTGCCATACCATATCTGAGTGACTGACCCTGCCAATTGAAGAGGGAGGCGAAAAGTATTGTGCCCACAGACGAGCAAACAACAAAGAACACACAGTCCGCCTGCACAGACATAGTCAAATTTAAAAAAAAAAAGGGACGAAACAAACAAATCCACAATCAATAAATGAGAAAAATAACTACTGAATGACCCGAAGACAGCAGACAATATCAAAACATTTACAAAAACAGGACAGGATGGTTCCAGTAGGCATCCAAAATAAAACACCAAATGACTCTCCAGTGGAAGAAAATGCACTAGAACTACCTGATAGGGAATTCAAATCTCTAATACTCTGAATTCTTC